CAAGTTTACATCATATTCTTATGCATGCCAGTGCTGTGTGTGAGGTAATTTAAGGTGGTTCTGACAAGATGCCTTTTAAAAAACAAGTTTACATCATATTCTTATGCATGCCAGTGCTGTGTGTGAGGTAATTTAAGGTGGTTCTGACAAGATGCCTTTTAAAAAACAAGTTTACATCATATTCTTATGCATGCCAGTGCTGTGTGTGAGGTAATTTAAGGTGGTTCATATCCGGTCACATGGGCGGCAAGCTACTCCCATCCGGTCACATGAGTGGCAAGCCACTCCCACAAAGGAAGCCACACCCACAGAGTAGGTTCAAACAATTTTTGAAACCCACCACTGCCCTGAAGATTCATTTTCTGCATTCACATTTGGACTTTCCCCCAGAAAATCTAAGTGTAGTCAGTGATGAACATGATTAAAGTTTTCACCCGGACATTGCCACAATGGAAAAACTGTATCAGGGCAACTGGAATCCATTAATGCTGGCTGACTATTGTTAGACACTGCAGTGAGATACATTGGATATTGAGTACAAACAAAAATCAGCAGCATTTGAGACCTGTTGAACTCATGCACCATGTAGGAAGCAGCATACCAGAAACATGTGATTAAATACTGTACATTATAGTTCTTAAAAGTTAATTTCATATTTCTCAAGTTCTTATGTAATACAGTTATTCTGAAATTATATTTCTGTTCAGTTTTAAGGCATTGATCATCATAATCATAAGTTTTTCAGGAAATAAAAAAAATGAAAATAATTATTGTCCAGTAAAACCCAAGTTCATTCAGGGTTCCTCGTTTCAGTCTGAATTACATATATCTGTTCTTGACAACTTAAGCTTTGTATTTAAAGAGCAAAAGTATGTGTAAAGTGAACATACTGATATTAAATAGGTTTATTGTTTGATTTAGAAAATACAATATGTACAGTATGAAGTTCAACAATCCAAAATGCCACACCTGCTGAGTTAAAGAAAGTATTGGAATAGAACCAGTTCAGTCTTTAAGGCCAAACACATTTACTTTAAAGTAATTTAATTTTAAATCAATATAGTTTCTTTAATACAGGCATGCATGGAGTCTATAAGCTACCCAAACATAGCTGGATAAAACAATCTGTAAAAAATCAAGTTACTAAAATAGTTTTAATTTTTATTTATAGTTCTAAATAATTTCAATTACACTTATAACTTCCTGATGACCGAAGCAAGCACGACAACCTACTGTACATGTCCACCATTACAGAATTGCACTTGCCATTAGCATACTCTTAAATCCATTATATTTTTTATACCTAAGATGTATTTTCTGTTATAGACATGCAATTCTGCCAGATTTATTAGTTATACATGGAATTAACTGATGCCGACTAGTGCTAATTATACCCCAAAACCATAAGGATTTTTTGATACATTAAACAATGATGATTTATATATGATTTACATATATGTATAAGGAGAATATAATTTCATTTCTAGTATTTCCTTCCTACCAGTATGAATGCATTTACAGATCAATGCATAAAAGACATTGCATACTAGAGTCATCTCAGAAATTATATTATTAGTAGAAAATTAATTATTGAATTAATTTGCCCTCTCTCATATCATACACTTCTAGAACATGTTTATCTGTTACATGCATTTCTCACTTCTGTCAGAAAGTTAAAACAGCATGTGAAGAGTTTATGTAGAAGTATTTTCTATCGGGGTTTTGAGGTGTCTGGATACCTGCCAAAAAGAATTCCCATAAAGTATATTTATGACATCATGATTCAAATAGGGAACACTGTGATCAAGCGCCATTTATAACATGCAGCTCTATTATGAATTTTACTGTATTGAATTTTGTACTCAATTAACCAAAATTGTTGAATTTCTCTGATGCAAAGATCTCTTTAAATAGGAATTCTCCATAGAATATTTATCATTTTAAAGTGTTTGGTATTAGGTATTTATTTTGTGTTCTTTGTTCAGATTTATTTAAGTAACACAATATATAATTGTTAAAAGTACACAGCCCCTTGAATAATTCTATACATCACAGATAGAGTCTGTGTTCACGCAAAATGATAAATTATAAACTGATAAATCACATTTTAGCTCAGAATATATTGGAACAGAATATTACGGAAGCCATGTTCTCTAGTATGTTTATGCTTCAGTATGCTGTATAAAGTCAGAAAATTGAATTAAATAAGGATCAACTCAAGCACAGGTAAGTGTGCCTGGACACAGCTGTATCCATATAACCCAAGGGATATTATTTTTTCCTTTTATCCTTTTATTTATCTCTTTTTCATCTATCATTTTTATTGTAAAATCAAAATATGCTTGCTCTGTGGTTGATCCCACAGCATTTATGTAAACTCAGTATCTTTTAATCCAAATTCCAAAAGGAAATCCATTAATGGGATGTTCCTGAAGGAAATCCATCTTTTTAACTTTCAATAAGCCTCACTATCCAAATTGGCTAGATAGTACTTCTTTTTCCTTGCTTTGTCTAGATTAATAAAGCCTTTTTCTGAATCAAAGAATGTAACCCAGCAAAATATAAGGCCAGAAATACAACTGCAGCAATAAAACATGTTCAAAACTATAAATTTCAGTACATTAATACATTAAAATATAACACAGCTAAAAACACACCATACTTCAATATAAAAAATATTAGTTTAAATATTAAAATATTAGTTTAAGAATGGAGATATATACAATGCTAGTGTATGTAGGAATCTCAATATAGTATGTATGTATGTATGTATGTATGTATGTATGTATGTATGTATGTATGTATGTATGTATGTATGTATATAAACTGAGAGAACCTCAAACTGAGAGATGGGCAGCATATAAATTTAGTAAATAAAAATAAAAAACACTATACTTTATGTCTCAGCCCTACAACTAAAGTTACAGTTCCCTCGGGAATTTTGAAAGGGAGACTTCATTTGCTCTTTCTAATATCTTTGAGATCTATTAATACCTACATAAAGACTACTAGCCATTTTTTCATGAAGTCTCAGTTGTGCAAGTAGAACAGGGGTGTTCACCTGGCAGCCTGCGGGCTGGATGCATCACGCACAGGCCATGCCTATTCCAGCTCCAGGAAGGGAAAAAACATCGCAAAAGTCATGTGACAGCAACGTGAAGTTGTGAGTTTCACATCTGTGATGTAGAAGCTGCTATGTCCTTTCTCCTTTCCTCATCTCTTCTTGCAGATGCTACCTTGTCTATGAAATAGTTATGTCAAAGTTTTCTGGCACTAGTAAGGGAATCTTATTTGCATCCTGGGAATTTGAGACTCAGCTGAAGACAGATTTGTAAACGTTCCAGTGTTTTTGCTTTTTTAAACAGTCATTGTTCTCTGGAAGTTTTCAAATGGCCATCATTTAACTATTCAGTGTAATTTTATTATCAGTGCACCTTCTACTCATACTGTTTTCTAATATGTGGAAAGTTCAGTTAATGAATCCTAGAAATACTTACTCTACCCTTCACGTAAGAAAATACTTCATGAGATTTTCATCTTCATTAAACCACCCCCAAACAATGACTGATTAAAGGTTTCAGGCAGAGATGGAAATCTTTATATCCCATTTTTAGATAACTGAAGATGCCAAGGATTTAACATGGCGTTCATGCAAGGCATCTCATTTATTAGTTTGTACATGTGCAGAGTGTCCTCCCCCTCTTTAATGTAAGTTTACATAAAGAGAAGTTGAAAGCCGAAGTTATGGATACTCAAACCAGCTCCAACCATCCCGAAACCATATTCCTTTATTTTATTTTCTGTTTCCCCATCTTTTCCTCTGTAGCTCATTCTTTCTTACTTACAGCCCTTTCTTTATTCATTATAGAAGAGTTTTGCTGAGATGGTACCATAGTAACTAGCAGGGGGTAAGAGTGATGGAGAACGGGAGGAAAGAAGGCCTGGATAAGGCTTGTTAGAGCGCCCCCTATCTGCGCTCGCCCTGCGCGCTCCGAACAAGCAGCAAATGGCTCTGGATTTGCGTGCTCCTTTGTGTGAGCACAGTCGGAGCAAAGCAGCGGCAGCGCACGCCGAATCTCTCCTGTCTACCCTGCTCTTCGAGACGTGGATCAGCCGTTCCAGAACCGGAGCCTCATCCCGCATCACCTCGACGGGAGCTTTAATCCCCTTTCTTTACTCTTCGAGGTAGAGAGCCGTTTGCAGAAATAAAGAGGTTGCAAAGAAAGGGGAGCGGGAGAGCAGAAGAGGAACAAGCAAAGCCAGCCCAAGAGGCAGACGGAAAAGAGCGCAAAAAGCGCCGAACTCTCCCAAGGCAGGCGCGGAGAGACCTGCCGCCTGGGCTCTGCCAAGTGGCGTGGGAGGGGAGACCAGAACTTGAAGTTACCTGCCCTGCCCTAGGAGAAAAGCCGGGGCTTTGACTGCCCCTTTCGCAGCCCTCGGCAGACGAGAACGGAGCTTTTTGGAAGAGTTTTGCTCCCCCTCTTTCTTCTGCTTCCAAAGCGTAAACGGATGTGAGGCAGAGAAGGTGCTTCTTTTGCTTCTTCTAAACTCGGGGCGCCTCAGCCTTTGGAGGAGGGGGGACGTTTTGCTTTTGCTTGAGTATAAGCACAAAGAGTGAAGCCGAGGAGTTTGCTTGATGTTTTAGGGCAATGGACGTAAGATTTTATTCGCCACCGCCACCAGCACCACCTCAGTCGGGCGCCGCTCCTGATACCCCCTGTCTGGGACCTTCTCCTTGCTTGGACCCCTACTACTGCAACAAGGTGATTTTGCGTTTTCTCTCTACAACACCCCCTCTTACCCCGTTCCCCGGGAAGCTGGGCGGTTGGGCAGATGGCTGAGTCTCGAAAGAGAAGACCTCAGGCTCGGCAGGTTGCGCATTTGAGCGAAACCCTCAAAGAAAAGCGTCAACGCTGTTTGGCTGGCGCGCCTCTATTTTAAAGGGAGATGGAAAAGCTAAGCGCTTCCTTTCTGCTACTGTCTTTATATTGTGGGCGACCTATTGCTGGGGTGGGGGGTGAGGCGGGAGGCGTGTGGACGCGTTGCAAAAGTAATCGCCTTCTCTTCATTTCTTGCACTGTTAGCCTGAGTGCTTCTAAAATATAATCCGGGTGAGGGGGGGCGGTGATGGGCAGATGATTGTGGAGGAAGTATTGCGCGTTTCTGAGTTCTGGCCCTTACTCGTAAGTTCCACAGCAGTGGAACGAAGCATCCTTAAGAGGAAATAACTCTAGGATCTGAAGTTGAAAGTCTCTGCTAAGTCGTACTTCTGTATATCGTACAAGGTTTGCAGGGAGGGGGGGGGATAAATTCATCGCCCAAATAAGCACTTCTCAGGTCTGCTTTCAGTCACCGAGGCAAGAATGACAAAGCATTTGGTTCGGGTGTCACATCTTAGCAAAGAGTTTGATGGAAAGGGAATTGGAGTTTCAAAAATCAGAAGAGTTGAAGTCTTTGCATTGAAGGTCCGGAGCACTTAGTTCAGAATTAAAAGGCATTTATCATCCTCCTTTATAAATGCAATAAAAAACTCAAACACAAAACCCTTTTTCTTTCTGTTATGTGGGCTGCTGGATAGAGTTGAAGGCATTGTCAGGGCAGCAGGAAAGCAAGTCTAAAGTTCTGTCGAGGTCATGGTATCTCTATCTACTCAGGAGTAAGTCTTTCTTGGCACTTAATTCCAAGTTGCTACTAATAGAACTGAATCTTAAGGCTTTCTTTGTGCAGTCATTCTTTGTATTTAATATTTATGTCCAAAAATAAAAGCCAGAATCATATACTGCTTTCCACATAAGTTCTTCCTTTGGTTAATTTTACCTAGTTGCTCTTTTATGAATAACATGAATTTCCACCTTGACCCCTCTGATCCCCATGGGCCTCAGAGGAAAACATTGGTCAGCTTTCACAATCAGTACTTGAAATGCACTTCATAAAGCAAGAGAACAAGTATTGGCAATAGGATTTATTTAATCCTGGATGTCAGTTGGGCTTTGTTTAAGAGCTTGTGGAACATTGGTGCTTCTGCAAGCATTATCAGATGTATTTGTGCCTGTACTTATATGCCTGACCAATGCTAGGTTTTTCTCTGGTTTTAATTGTTTATAAAGATATAGGTGATCAAGATTCTACAGAAAGGCAGTACGTTTATTTACTGAAAAGGATGGGTGGGGGGAGGAATCTACTGTTAAGTGTTATCTCCCAGCTTTGGTGCATGCATGTATTTCAAGATTTTCAGATATGCTATGCGAAATATGACAAATTCTGATTTATGCTTGTTTTACAAATACATGATGTTGCAGTTCTATCATTAAACTCTTCAGCCTTCAGGAAATCTCTAGCATGCGCTCATGGGTCAGTCATGTTGTGTACCATTCATTTCTATCCCTGATGATAACAAGAGACTTATTTTATCCCTTTGATTTTATAAAGTGAAATCTGGACAGCAGTGACACAAGAGATACCATAGACAGCCTTGTGTTTTGTGATTTAATGTAGAATGTGGTTCTTGATTAAGATCAAATAAAACTCTTCCTGTAAAAGTTTTCTCTAGGTGTGCTACTCTGGAAAAGAAATGGTAGCAGGACTACTCTCCTCCCCCATATGCAAAGCTGTTTCTGTGCTCAGGTTCTTTAAGTACACAGTAATGATAATTATAAAACTACTTTCACCTTGTGACTTATCACTGTTATCTTTTATGCTGAATGGTAAGCTTTCCATGCTCAGAAAAAAGAAGTATTAAGTAGAATTAATGACTTAAGTACCAAAGGGCCTGAAGAAACCATTTGGCAGTGAAAACTGGAAGTTATTAAATCTACCAGTGATTTAAAGCTTCAGAAAGAAGGTAATGACTTGAATACATATTTTGCCCATCATACTCAGGATGGTGGTCCAGATTTAATTTAAACGTTAAATGCTTTGGAAAATCAGGAATTAAGTTGATATATGAAATCATTTTCTAATTAAGGATTTTAAATTATTTTGGGTGGATACATTTAAAAATCCTTTGCATGCATCCTTTCATTTTCTCTTCCCAATCAACTTTTTATATTAATTATTAGAAATGCTCATAAAAATGAACAAACTTTTTCTTTGACTGTGCATTCTATTTAACCCAATCAAGACAGACAATAGATATCAAAAATACTACATTACCATCTTTTTAAAACTCAGAAGTGACATGCTAGGAATGTTTCTTATAAGGCAACATTCTTTAAGCAATAGATATCTCTGTCAAGCTGCTATGCCAATGACCATTGATTATCCTAAATGAACTTAGGATAGCTTTGCTGCCTGGGCCCCTATGAGGCATGTGTTGACTGAGAATCTAATTTTCCTGCATTCTCCTAGTCTCAGTCAATCTAGCTGATTACAGTTGTAATAAAGTCTAAACTTTTTCTCTTGTTTCTCCTGGCTGCAGAAATGCACATAATTTAGTCATCTTCTATTACTGCTGCTGGAATTTTTTTTTTCTGTAATGTTGCATCCCCTTAAACAACTTTGATGAATGCAAATAAAAAGGCCAACTTGTATCCTAGAATGCTAGAAACATTTTTATTGCAGGGGAAAAATATTTGAATCAGTGGAATTTTGACAGGCGCTTGTAAGCATCTACATTCACAATTTCTTTCATCTGTACTGATTATAGAAGGTAAGGTAAATATTAATTTGATTTGGTTATTGGCATTAGAGTTGCTTTTATGTTAGAATAATTCCATTTATGTTAGTGGAGTTGTTCTACAGTGTGGGTGAAAAATAAATACATCTGAACATGTCAGAAATATTGCCAGGTAATTAGCATAACTTTTATTAGTGGTTTTAGCAAACATGCCCTTTTATTATGTACAATTTATTAAATAAATTGTACATAATCTAAGAACCAATATTATCTAGACTTGTGTCTGTTATACTGGTTATAAAGAATTAGGCTTCATAACTGTTTTACATACTACAAAATATTATAGGGAGTTTTTTTAATTTTCTTTTCTGTTAGCTATCTTTGTTTCAAAAGATTATAAAGGCACTATCTTTAAAATGATGACTTAAACAGTTTAATTGGCAATTGCTGTGTTTTCGCTTGCAGTATAACGTCCTTTGAACATACTGTCTCAGATCATGTTTCTTTCTCCAGCTAAACTCAGAGGGAGAAAAGTGAAAGAACAATGCAAACAATGTTAGTTATGGCAACTGTGTGAGGTATCCTTTATACAAATAGAGAGAATGGTGGCTGTATATAGGTCAGTCTTTGAAATAATATAGTGAAACTCATAGGCCAGGCAGACAAATTTAGACTTAAGGTATTATGGTTCATCTCTGAAACTTAGAGGAGAGTTGGTAACCCTCTAACCAGGAGATACATGAACAATGGCATTTTTGGAAAACATTTTGTGGTACATGCACATTTCCTAGTTTTTTGCTTTTTAAAGATGTCCTGTTTTCAGTTTAAATATATTTCCATAAAAATCTATTCTTAACCTTTCTAGCCACGGTTTTGATAAATTCTGGTGTGAAAAATTTTTTGCTTATGATTTTGTCACTTGCCATTATTTCCAACATTGCTGATATATGAAGCATTTGCTTTAATATAAGTCTGTTTTGACATAATAATATCCAAATCCATAATTTGGATAATAAGAGGCATGCTGACTTATGCCAAGAATGTTCTCTATTGCTTCCAGTAGTTAGCCTGGCTTTTCTGCAATCTCTTCCTTAAAAGTAAAAGCCCACAGCTAATATACAGTTAACTTGTCAGTATAGTGAAAAAAAGCCAAGCTGATAAGTGTATGAAAGAGGGAGAACATATCCTAAACAAACAAGGAAGCAGTTAACACATAGTACATGTATAAACCACATTTTATAACTTTCAGATTACTGTTTGAGAACAAATTTATAATAGAGCTTTATTATTCTTTTACAAGATTATTTTCTACTATCAGCTAAATGATTTTTGATAGGTAAGTATTAGTTTTCTAATGTTGACATTGTAAATACCCAAAATGAAATTGCAGATGTTGCTGTTTAGAAGTTGTCCCAAAAATGCATTTATTACAAGCATAATTCCCCTTGCCTGATGCTTAATTTGCTCAACTTTATTACTTTTATTGAAATTGTTAAATTATTGTATTTATTTGAGGAGGTTCTAAAATATATTTTTTATTTTGAGATATTTCAGCTCTGTGTAAAAGAGGATGCATAAATTCAAATAAATATTGGATTATTTCTGTTTTTACTGCCTAAAATGATACCTCGGAAGAGGATATTATACATTTTTTTAAAAAAATATTTTTGTTTATTAAAAGTTTCTGTGTACTTCAATGTTTTTACTGCTGGGTTGATACTGAACTGTAAAAAGTGTAATATTTTAATACACTTTGTTGAAGTTAGTAAATTTGTTGTTTCTTTTCAGTTGTTTCTTTTCAGTGTGGTTTCCAAAATATCATTGCTTTACATTTGCTTCAAAAATATATAACTTATACTATTATAAAGCTAAATTGTCTTATTTCTTGACATAACTGTAACACAGACATAACAGCAACAACAACAACAACAACAATAATTGCACAACATATGTACAATGAGATTGGTTGAGGTCCCTCAGTGCATTCCCCCAACACAATACAACTAACAATGAAAACAAAAAGAAAAGAAATATTCCTAACCCAATAAATCACATTAACAAACGCCCAGTCCCATTTTACCAGTGTGAACATGTTACACGTTGCCTGTGAGGTCAAAACCTTTCACTATGTAACATTTGTATATTTTG